GGGGGAGAGATGGGGGATCTGGGGAGAGACAAGGTGGGGACATGAAGGGACTTTGAGAGACCCGAGGACACACGGGGGATGCGGTGGGGACACAAGGGGATCCCGGGGGACACTGAGGGACACGGGGGGACCTTGAGGGGGACCTGAGGACCCACAAGGGACATGGAGGGCACCCGGGGGACATGGAGGGGACCTGGGGACGTGGAGGGGGGTGGGAGGGGACCCAGGGGACATGGGGGACTGGGGGTGCTCACCGGGGGACGACGCCATCCTGGCACCACCAGCACCCAGGGGCCCTCGGCCAGGAACATGGCGCCTGCGGGGACACCACCATCAGCCAGTGCTCCCAGTGCCCCCGCCAGGGCCCTCCCAGTAACGCCCCCAGTAACCACCAGTGCCCTCCCAGTAAACCTCAGTGCTCTCCCAGGACCGCTCCCAGAAACTCCCAGTGCTTCCTGTGACTCCCCACAGTGTTCCCAGTAACCCCCAGTGCCTCCCAAGTGCTCCCAGTAACATTCCAGCACTCCTGGTTTCCCCCAGTTGACCTTCCCAGTGCTCCCAGTAACTCTGCCCCAGGGGTCCTAGTGTTTGCAGTAACCCTCCTGCAGCACTCCCAGTAACACCCAGTGATCCCAGTAAACCCCCTTGCTGGCCTCCTCAGGGTCCCCAGTTCTCACCCACAGCACTCCCAGTTACTCCGGTGCCCCACAGTGTTCACTCCGCCAGCCTCCCAGTACTCCCAGTCCCACCCCAGTGCTCCCAGTTCTGCCTCCCAGCACTCCCAGTCCCCCTCCAGCACTCCCAGTAACTCCCTGGTGCCCCACAGTGTTCACTCTGCCAGCCTCCCAGTACTCCCAGTCTCCTGTTAGTGCTCTCAGTCCCTCCCCAGTGCTCCCAGTTTGGCCTCCCAGCACTCCCAGTCCCCCTCCAACACTCCCTGGTGCCTGCCGCCATCCACCCCCCAGTCCCCCCTTAGTGTTTCCAGTCCCTCCCCAGTGCTCCCAGTGTCCCCCCCATTACTCCCAGTACCTCGGGTGGGCCCTGCCCTGTCTTGGCCTGAGCTGAAGGGAGCAGCAAAAAAGGGGGGGGTGGCGCCCCACCCACACCTGGGGGACTGGAGGGCGGGAGGCACTGGGGGAGTGTGTGTGGGGCAGGCCTGGGGGGAGCCGAGGGGGCCAGGGACAGCACTGAGGGGACAAACTGGGGGGGGGGACGATGACAACTGACCATACTGGAGGTGTAGTACCAGGGGGGGGCCCCCGCCCCCCCCTGTGGTGTGGGTGCCAGGGCCCTGTCGTGGGTGTCCCCACCCCACGTGGGTGCCAGCATCCCAGGGACACCCAGGAGGGATGTCCCCCTCCCTGGGATGAGTCACTTGCCCTGGGGACAGCTAGGAAGGGTGTCACCATGCCGAGGACACCCACGTGGGTGTCCCCACCCAAGGGTGGGAGGTGATGAGGTGGCTCAGCACCTATAGGTGTCCCCAATCCTCCCCCAGTAGCTCCCAGTTGGATGCCACATCCCCATTGGTGGGGGGTGGGGACACCCATGGGTGACACAGGCCCTGGGGACACCTGGGAGGCCCCACTGTAGCCCCATGGCAGGGTGGGGAGGGGGAGACACAGCCCCCCACCCATGGACTGGGAATGGGGCATGGGCAGGGAGCCCCCCAAACTCAGAGAGAGGCTCCCAAACTGGGAACGGAGGAGGGAGTGTGAATAGGGACACACCCCCCCCGCCCCAAACTGGGAGTAGGAGAGGGGGAAAACCGTCCCAAACTGGGAATGGAGGAGAGGAAACCCCCCTCAAATTGGGAATGGGGAAGGGAGGTAAACCTGCCAGGTGGGAATGGGGAATTGCCCCCAAACTGGGAAGGGGACTAGCCCCCCTCACCCCCCCAAAAAAAAACAGCAAGAGGGGGCTGGCTGAGGAGAATCCTCCAAACTTGAAGTAGGGGAGGGGACAAGCACCCAAACTGGGAACTGGGGAGTGGGAAACTCCCCCCCAAACTAGGAACGGCGGGACTCAGAGCCCATCTTGTGTCGAGGTGGACCCAGTCACCCCCTCAGTTTTGGAGCTCCCCCCAATCCTACCAGTGGGTCATTAAACAGCCCCAAATTTGGGTACTTTTGAGATGGGATGGGAGATATCTACCCCCATGGGAGCCCCAGTTTGGCCCAGCTCCCCCAAACACCCATACAACTCCCCCAGCAACTTTTACCCCGCACCGGCTTTAAATTATCCTCTCTGGCGGCAAGGTTAAGTATTTTTAAGGTTTTTTTTACTCACTTGCAGGTGGTTCTGCGGACCTCAGAGCCCCTTTGGAGACGCTCAGGCTTCTCCTCTGGGGGTGAAATCGGGCGTTAAATGGACTGAGAAGCAAAAAGACAGGGCAGAATGAGATGGGTGGGTGCAGGGAAGCGCAGGAGGCTCGGGGGTAGCACAGGAGGTGTCGGATGGGGTTGCCGGGGCAGGATGGGGGGGGCTGCTGGAGGCAAATTGGGGCTGCCTGGGCTGGTCCTGGCATGTTTGAGGGCTAGCTCTGAGGGAGGGCGGTGATTTTGGGGTGATACCCACGGCCTTGGGCCCAGGCCTGGCTCACACCACAGCCTAGAGCTGGGTTTTGGCTTTAGGCCCCTGCCCACAAGCAGCCCTAAACCTGCGCCTCCACCCAGGCCCCAGCCCAGCCCTTGAGCAGGTCCTTGCCCAGAGCCAGGGCTGAGCTCAGGGCCCAGCCCAGCCCCAGGCTGAGAGCTAAGCCCTGGCCACAACCAAGCTCAGGGTTGGGCCTTGGCCCAAGCTGATGCCCCGGCCTTGCCCCAGGCCTACACCCAGGCCCAGGCCCAGGCCCAGGCCCATCCCAAGGCCAGGGCCATGTCCCGCTCTGGGCCCACACCCAGGCCCGTGATCAAAACCCTCTCCGCGTTGTTCCCCCGTGCCAGTCTTGCCCTGAAGACCCCCTTTGCCTCGGGCGGACCCCGCTGGGCCGAAGCCCCTTCCCTCTCCCAAGGACCGCGGCCGAACCGGAGTGACTCCGGACCCGCTCGAGGGCTACTGAGGTGTTTGCAAAGGTGATTGGTTCGCTGAGCTGTCGATCAGAGCATCTGTCCCGCCTTCCTGAGGAGTCTGGCTGACGATTGGCTAAAGGGAACGTCCATCTTAAAAGTCACCGCCTTCCCTGTGCTGATTCGGCCGCTGGTTGGTCCAGCGCCCGCCCTGCCTTTCGGCTTCCAAATCACATTCGCCCTCCCACTCCGGGGGTGGTGCGCTTGGAAGAAGCGGATTGGGTCCATTAGCTGTCATTCCACGCTTTCTAGGTGCCTATTGGCTTAGTAAGGTGTGAACTCCACCCACCAAGTGAGCTGATTGGCCCGTCCTCTTTAACTCTTCCCCCTCTCCGCTCACGGCCGGCGGCTCCTTCCCGCCCCTCTCAGTGTTGTCCCGCCTTCCCCCGCCCCCCGCGCCTCCCCTTGCCTTTCCGCCC